CTCCATACAATAACGAAAGAGTAAAAATGTAATGGCTACGATTTGTACACACAAGAACTGGTTTCAAGGTGCTGGTAAGCAGACATGGACGCCTTTTGAAAGAGCGGGGTCAGGGGATAGCGGTTCCCACTTTTTTCCAGTCTTTGAGCTACAGTAAGCTAAGTTAAGTTGCTGCTGGTTTGAGTTCAATCATAATTATAACAAATATATAGGTAAAATATTACTAGGACACATCAGGCTTGTTTTCAGGTTTGTACTTGTATTTTGGTTTCTGCTATAGATCATGTCTACATGCTTTAATGTTCGAAACACACATTACATCTCTCATGCTGTCTGTCTGAATAACATAACACCTGGCTCTTTAAGCCCCTTCCCAAAAAAGCCCAGAATGCTCTGATTGGTCGGTGTTTCATGGTCTTTCACATCTTTCCTCTCAGCATCTCTGCATCAAATTTGGCGAGTAACTACTGTAACGGTACTGTAGTGGCACTTAGTAAATATTATAACGTTGTGACATCACAAGTGTACCTAGAACCTGGACTTAAAATCTTTATCGGACCTAAACCTTTTTTTCTGTTTTCCGCATGATTTGATGATATTAGAAACAAACCACTCACTGTTTTGAATTCACAGTACTCTGTGGCAGCCAGACGTGCCATCTTCTCTTCAAAGTACGCCATCTCTTCAACTGTCAGCACTGCCAGCCGGCGCACCTCTTGATAGGACCACTCTTTATCACACTTCTTCACGGTGCCATCCTTCAAAGCAGGGCACTTAAACTTGTACTGGCCCTGAAAATCAAAAATACACATTGAGTTATATTGCAGTGTGTGTGGGGAGTTGAGAATCCTTTACATGTAGAACCAGGAAAGGTGTAAAACTAAATAATAAATCGACATCATCAAGCATCAAATCAAATCAAATCAAGTTTTATTTATATAGCACATTTTTAAAACGATTTTTGGTTGAGCCAAAGTGCTGTACATATAATAATTACCTTACAGTAAAGACACTTTACAGAAAATATAACAGCACAGTTTGTGCAGAATATCAGTATGAGAAAAACGACACCCTCTGTCCTTAGACCCTCACATCGTACAAGGAAAAACTTCCGGAGAAAAAACCCACAGTTTAAGGGGAAAAATGGGAGAAACCTCGGGGAGAGCAACAGAGGAGGGATCCAGTAGCATGGGCAACAAGACACTTATACACTGATGACAAAACACCATTTCCATATAATAAGTGGTCTAACACAGTTTTTATAGTCAGTAAAAAGTAGAGGTGGAAAATATGTGTTTGTGTTTCTGTTTCTGTTTGCAACATCACTTCTCTAACACTAAGTGAACCCGGCTTTGTGCTCTTTAAACAACATGTTGGAAAGTACCTGATCCAGCAGGCTGCGACACCAGCCAGTGAGAGACTGTGGAGTGACTGCATGACCGCAGGACATCTCTGCACAGAGACCCTGATCTCCATCCTCCGGAGCTGAGGGGAACAACAACAAGAGCAGACATTGAACTCATCGTCACAGTCACATACATATAGCCCTGCACATTCAGCATGAAAGAGCCCACCTATATTCCTTTAAAAAGAAATTAAGAAACACATCTCCCTCTGTCGTTATATATCATTGCATGCAATCCATTTGTTAACTTAATAATAGATACAAATTGGGACATTATATTGTTACAGTAACAGCTGCTATCAAGGTTTTGCACACAAGTTGAATATATACAGTACAGTACATATCAACAGGAGAAATCTATACAGTATACAACATTTACAAAATAAATACAAAATAAGTTATACTCTAATTTATCAAGCTAATACTACTAAAATTGAACATAGGGTAATAATATTTACATTACAAGTGTGCAAAGTAGTTGAAGTTTTGTAAATGATTAAGCAATTAGGTAGTGTAGGTTAATCAGGATAACCAATTCACGCAGCACAGAAACGTGAATTATTGTGATTCTGGTTTAAATGGTTTTTGATAATGCTTACGAAATGCATCCAGAGCATCCGGTTTGTTGACAAACTTCAGAGTTGTGTCTTTCGGGTCGTATCTCTTCTCCTGACCCGGTGTAGTCATTTTGTTTCAGCTCCTCTGCTCCTAACTTCGTGTGTCAGCACTCGGGAGATGAGCAGTAAAATGGCTGCTGCTGTGTCAACTTCTCTGACTCCGATTTTCTTTTTTACTTTCAGTTTCCCACAGCAGTTCCAAGAAATCACGTGAATGCAGAGTAACAGCTCTGAATTCCCCTTCTACTTTCTTTTGTTTACATTATTATTTTTTAAGACAGCCTTGATGTGTGTCCTCAAGTATGGAGAAAAGGCCCTTAATGTGTTTAATATTTACACCACTTTGTTTTACAGAAACTTCTTATATGACAGCCAGAATGTGGAACAGCTGGTAAACAAAGAGGACGTTGGTCAGATACCAAACACTGCTGGAGTATCAGGTGATTTCCACTAATCATGTCAACACATCATTGGCTGTTTTTCTGTGTTACATAAATGCTATATGTAGCCCTTGTGCTGTTACTAAAATTATAAATATAAAATCACAGATAGCTTTAAATAAAATGATGTATTCAAAATCATGTGGTGTTACACACAAGACGGCCAGAGGAGGAAGAAGTACTCAGATCTTGTACAAAAGTAGAAGTACCAGAGTGTAGGAATACTCTGTTACAAGTAAAAGTCCTGCATTCAAAAGTTTTAGCACCAACATATACTTATAGTACCAAAAGTAAAAGCACTCATTATGCACATTGGCACATTTCAGATATTAAAAAAAATGATTTTTATTATAATTACTGATGCATTAAAGTGTTCTCAAAGCTGGTAAAGGTGCAGCTAGTTGTAATAGCTTTGTATACTGCATGGTAGATTGTGAATTTACTCCAGGTGTAACAAAAGTCTGATTTAAGTGTTGATTAAGTAAATTATAACTAAATGTATTAAATAAATGTAGTGGGGTAAAAGTACACGATTTACCTTTGAATTGTACTAAGGGTACAAAGTAGCTAAAAATACTCAAGTACCAGTCCTTTAACATTTTACTTAGGTAAATAGTTACTAAACACTGACACATAAGAAATTAGAAATAAAACTAAAATGCCCAAAATGATCATGGTAATAATCATAATAATAGCTTCAGCACGAAAGTGAAAGTATTCTCCTCCCCTCCCCCTCCCCCTTGCGTCAGATTGCTGTTGATCAGCATACACAGCACCCTGAGGTGGCATTACCCTCTCTCCCAGCGAAGGAGCAGCTCGCGCCCAGACAGACACAGCCATGGGGAAAATCTACCAGGTCGTGGTGCACGGATTTAAAGGTGAAATACTCATGATCGACATGTGCAACACGGAGGAGCAGTTCAAGAGCATGACCGTGCTGCAGCTGAAGGAGAAGATAGCAGAGAGGCTTCCCGAGACCGCAGGTAAGAGGGGAAGTAACTAAGTACATTGACTCAAGTACTCTTTTGAGAGACTTGTACTTTACTTGAGTATTTAAAAAAAAAAAAAGTCCCCCAGTACAATTCAGAGGTAAATCATGAACTCCACTGCATGTATTTGGTACCTTTAGTTACTTTACAGATCTTTGATTAATGATGTGAAATATAATCAACACTTAAAACCGACTTTAGTTAGGCCTACACCTGGAGTAAATTCACAAGCTACCCTGCAGTATACTAAGTCATTACAACTAGCTGTACCTTTACCAGCTTTGATAACACTTTAATAATTATAATCACAACATGTCATATATATTATTCTATTCCTAATGAGTACTTTAAGTATATTTTGATGTTAACAGTGTGTGTGTGTGTGTGTGTGTGTGTGTGTGTGTGTGTGTGTGTGTGTGTGTGTGTGTGTGTGTGTGTGTGTGTGTGTGTGTGTGTGTGTGTGTGTGTGTGTGTGTGTACAGGAGTGTGGGCTGTGCGGCTGATCTTCACAGATAAGATACTGGATGGAGACGACGAGCTGCTGAGTGAATATGGAATCCAGAACCAGTCCCACATCCACATGGTGCTGAAGGTTCCTGGAGGACTGACCGCTTGACAGAGACCTCCACCTCCTCCTGCTGCCGTTTACACATACACGCTCTACTGTGTGTGCTATATTATTGTCTTACTCCTTTTATTGTTCCGATGTAAAAATGGTTTTGCTGTTCAAATAAAGACACGTTCTATCTAATTCCTTTTATTTCCTCATATCTTGTGTGCAGATATTGCCTATTAAAGTAGAGTGAAGACACATCAATGGGGTCCCCTAGGGGTCCCTGCAAGGGCTCTCGCAGTCTAGCAGTTATCCCATGTAATCAGTTTATTTAAATACACATTCAATAATTACTTCACACATGTGGTGTGCTCATAGGTGTTTTGTAATACACAACAATGAATATGAATATTGTAAATGCATCCATGTAGGTGAGAAGAAGTACATTTACTCACTGTACTTAAGTACAATTTTGAGGTTTAACAAAATGCATCTCTAAAAATTAAACTAGTGGACTAACTAATTTTATAAAAAGTAAATTATAACTTTGTTTGTCTACAACAGTAAAAATGTTTCTTGAAGCAATAATACTATCTATTCATGTCACATATAAACATATAATTATCTGGGACCATGTTTCTGCACAATGATTATTTTACTTTTTACACTTTAAGTACATTTAGCAGATACTACTTTTGTAAGATTTGATGAATGCAGTAATTTTACTTGCAATTAAGTATTTTGACAATTATGTATTGGTACTTTTACTCGAGTAAAGCATCTGGATACTTCTTCCACCTCTGCATGTATGGTCTACAAAAAGAAACGTCTCCACCAGCAGCTGAATATGCTGCGTTCAAGTCCTCCTGTAAAACAAGAAGAGAAGACAGAGAATAAAAGTGGTTTATGATTTATCTTAAGGTAAAATCAGTAAAGGCAAGGGCAACTATATTTTATTTCCTTGTCAGTCATGTGAGCCGTGTGTGTTCTCAAAACAACATTTGTCCGACACACCCTGAATGCAGCAGGACATTTTTATTGGAAATAGAAAGAGAAAGTGACATCGTAGAAACACGTCGATGATAAACGGAGAGATGAACATTTTGTCTGCGGGAATTTCTGAAGGTAGGCTCATTATTTTTTCTGCTTTGTGTTCCTCAATGAAACAGTTGTGTTTGATTAATTGTCAACAGTTAATTGTCAAATGATTTGCAGCTGGCAGTGTATGAGTGGACTGATACGATCGTCAAAAAGGAATCAATATGGATTTCATAAGATATGGTCAACAAAAGGTCTCCAGCATGTTGTACCCTCCTGGTAAGATATAGGCTATGTGCCGTTTGTTTATAAACTTACAATTTACATTCATAGCGTAATTAGCATTTTCCTCCAACAGCCATTAAGTACCATGGCTTGGTAAACCAAGGGTCAACATGTTACCTGAACAGTGTGCTGCAGGTGCTTTTTATGACCAAAGACTTCAGAGAAGCTGTGGAAAGGTGTGTAACAGTCAATTTCGTGCCGTATAATGCTTTTAAACAGTATTTGGATTATCCAGTACACTTTTGTTTTTGTATGTGTTTCTGTTTTTTTTTACTTTGTGCAGGCACATCAGTGATAATCCTGACTCTGAGCATATTGATCTTCAACTTGAATCCCTGTTTGGTGACTTAAAAAGTTATCCAGCGTACACCTATAAGATCACAAAGAAGCTGGGCATCAACAAGGGTACAGTATGATACCACACAGAGACACAGAGCCTTTAAAGAGGCTAACTATTTGGGAAATGTGATCCATTGTTTAGTATCCAATATCTAAGAATATAAATCAATAGCTCATTTTATTTTGTAAAATAAATATTCACTGATTTCTGCTCTTTTCCCCCTCAGTTTATGAACAGCAGGATGCTGCTGAGTACTTTGAGAAGATTTTAGCTAAGACCAGTGATGATGCATCGAAGGTAAAGAACTCACCACTGATATATACTGGAATCTGTACATTACAAGAAAAATACTTCAAATACAAGTATTTTTGTGCTTTCAGATTTTTCACGGACAGCTGACACACAAGACCACATGTTCATCATGTGGTACCGAGATTGATGCTGCTGGGCCATTTTGGAATCTTACTCTTGCATTGGAGGATTCCTACAGTCAGAACTTTAGCGTGGTAAGAATCTGACAACCTGCACATTTTAAAGCATTTTTCTGTTGCGTGGAATTAACCTAATATGCCATTTCCCTTAGACCACAAAACCCATTAAACTGATGAGGAATCATGTCACAGAACTAACTTCAGACACAAATGACATGAGTGCTTGTTTTTAGGTGAATGGCATTGAGAAGTATTTCAGAGAATCGTCTCTCAACGGAGAAAACCAGATGTACTGCGAGAAATGTGATGACAAGTCTGATGCCACTACTGTGAGTAATAATAACGACTTGTTTTTTAATTTATTTAGATCACATTACAGTGTACATACAGAGTTCATGGTGTTATAACTGCATTATAATACATGCTGGGGACCTGTTTCTTTAGAAATGTGTAATAAATCATCATCCGGAGGTTTTGATGCTGCTGCTGAAGAGGTTTGAGTTTGACTACTATTCTATGAGATATGTCAAAATCAACTGCACTGTGGACGTTCCCTGCACCCTACAGATACCAGAGGTATGTTTGTAGTATATTTTACTTTTTCATCATGACATATTTCATTCCTGAGTCTCATGTCTGTCATGTTTTCCACTGGTGATCAGAATCAGCCCTATGAACTGTATGCGGTGGTGGAACATTCTGGAGATCTCAGTAGTGGACATTACATTGCCACAATCAAATCTGAGGATGATGGGAGATGTTACAGCTTCAATGATAGCTGCGTCACAGAGGTAAGACGGATCACTTTAACTTCAATGGTGTCAAGACTTACATATACCGGTCTGAAAAACCAAATTCATAATTTTATGTTTGGTAATTGTTTTTATCAACAGCTTCACTCCCAGCCATTCCAGTTGGATACATTTCAGAAGTACGTTTTTAAATTTTTTATTACTACAGCTTGATGCAAAAATAACACTCCTTAAGCATAACAGCAGATTTGAGCTCCCACTCTCAAACCCAGTTTGTCATATTTCCACCCTTACTGATGGGTAAAAACAACGACATTTAATTTACAAATATCAAGTGTATCTCCGAATATCTACAGATATATCCACGCACAGACATTTATCCATACGGACATGCATGCACCAATGCATGTATTATTTTTTCAGTATCTGCCTAAAAAAAATAAACCTAAAATAAACAATTTTTGCAAGACAGAAAGCCCCTGTGTAAAACACAAGCTATACATTTGCATATGCATACTTTTTTATTTGATATTGACCTGACTTTTCTTCCACATTCCTCTCAATAGTTCCACCAGCGCTTATCTTCTGTTTTACAGAAAAGAGAAAGGTAAGATAGCAAACATGTTCATTGCTTACTGATGTGCACTGTTCAGATTTCTAACCTAAACTAATTTACACTTTTCTTCCAGTGTCTGCTGCAGGTACTCAGGTCTTCAGAGAGAGATCTACTCCTGGAGGCTCTCCACTCTCTACCTGTGAGACCCAGGACCAGAGTGAGAAGAGAAAGAGAAAGAGAGAGGAGGAGGACGAGGGGACAGCAGAAAAGGGCAGAGACCCTGCAGTCACTGCTTTCATCAACAGAGATGAAGGAACAGGGTTTAAAGAAACAGACAGAGTGAAGTCTATACAATCAGGGCTATCACCTGACATCTCTAATGTAGAGTCTAAGGAGGAAGGAAATGACTTACATGTAGAGTCTAAGGAGGAAGGAAATGACTTGCATGTAGAGTCTAAGGAGGAAGGAAATGACTTACATGTAGAGTCTAAGGAGGAAGGAAATGACTTGCATGTAGAGTCTAAGGAGGAAGGAAATAACTTAAATGTAGAGTCTAAGGAGGAAGGAAAGGACTTACATGTAGAGTCTAAGGAGGAAGGAAATGACTTGCATGTAGAGTCTAAGGAGGAAGGAAATGACTTGCATGTAGAGTCTAAGGAGGAAGGAAATGACTTACATGTAGAGTCTAAGGAGGAAGGAAATGACTTACATGTAGAGTCTAAGGAGGAAGGAAATGACTTACATGTAGAGTCTAAGGAGGAAGGAAATGACTTACATGTAGAGTCTAAGGAGGAAGGAAATGACTTGCATATAGAGTCTAAGGAGGAAGGAAATGACTTACATGTAGAGTCTAAGGAGGAAGGAAATGACTTAAATGTAGGAAAATCTTCAGAGAGATCTGAAGAGAGTGTTGACGATCAGCACAAGGACAGTGTGGGAGTAGGCGATGTTAGCCATTATTATTACCCAGGAGTCAGTGACAGGCTTCTTAAAAAACTAGATGAAAGCAGAGATGCACAAAGGAGGGAAAGGGATGTAAAGACAGGCAAGACTGGAAGAGATGAACAGTCAGAACAGAGCGGCACATCCTTGAGAATAAACCTTTCCATGGACACAGAGCACCATGGACATGAAGGATTAGGAAATGTTAAACATGACAATCTGGAGGGGCAACAGCAAATGCAGCAAGCTTATGGCCCTAGTGTGGAGCAACAGGGAGATGGGTTGAGGACAGAGAAAGATGTTGAGGTAGATAAGAAAGGAAAACCTGATCCATCCCCTCTGATAGAGGATAGAAGAGTTGATGGTCGAAAACAGAACATGTCAGAAGACCTTCAGGGGTTTGAAGCTAGAAAGAGAAGGGAGGATAGGAGGGATGTAGAGGGAGCCAAGGAACTAAAGAGAGGAGATGACAAACAAAGGACAAAACCTTACCTTTGGGAAGGAGGAGAGGATCAGGACAGGAGAGGGTTGGATGGTGTTAGACAGGACAGACAACAGCAGAAAACAAGTGTTCCACAAGATCCTAAAGATGTTGATGAGGAAAGGCCAGCTAAAGAGCAGGAACGTAAACCTTTTCCAAACAGAGGGGGCTCTTCTCGTAAACAGTTAATTGTGAAAACATTTGAGGAAGAAACTAAAGAAACCCCCTTTGGTACACAAAGAAGTATTGAGACGAAGATCACTAGAATAAAGACCAGGGAGAAACAGGAGCGCTTATCAGAGAGTTTTTCTGATATGAAGCTGAGTGAGCCACAGAAACAAGGGACCAAGAGACACAAAGGCAATGTGACAACCAGTGCAATCCATTCAAATGCAGAAAAAAAAGCAAGAGTCTCTGACACACAAGAGCAGGGTGCTGAAAATCAACCTTTCATTGAAAAAATAGGTGATGAAGAGATTAAAAGTAGAGGCCATCATGCCCAACAGGAGAAAAACAGAAAAGGAAAAAAAAAGAAAACAACTTCTTGTTGTATCCCGTGCAAACATGCAAACCAGACTTCAGAGTGAGATTGAGACAAAATGCTTTGTTCATTGTTCAGTGTGATTAAGTGCAACAGAATATAACAACAAGCAGAAGGGAAATGAATAGAAATATAAAGGCACTATTTCACAGTGTACTTGAATCTCACTGAGACTCAATGATCATACAATGTTTTTCTTTTACTACAATTCTCTGTCCTGTTAGGTTTTGTTTTGAACGTGTTTAATTCTTCAGAGATTTATGAATAGATGACACTAAGTGTAAAATCTAATGTGATTTCAGACGAGACATTGTATAAGAAAAAGATTTTCACATAAATATAAATCCATGTATCAATAGTATTTCATTTGTGTTTGTTTTCTTATTTTACTGTTAAGTACTCTATCTTAAATCAATAACGTTTTTTGACGACTACAGTTATAAACTATTGCTGCAATGCCCTCTGACAAATGTCGTGGATGCTTTTTTCAACCAAACTATTGTAGTCCTTTGTGACACTTGTAGGAATTGCTGATGATTTTAACAAATAAAAGAGATATGTGAAAGACATGCTTGTACATGCACTGTTTTTGTGGAAAGTTACAGGTTATGATGCTGCAGAGATTCCCTCATACTGTCCCATACAGGCTTATCTTTAAAACAATTTTATAAAATCACAAAAGACTTTGTTCTTCTTTGACAGTGAAACCAAAGAAAGAAAAACGTCAGGAAGGTCAACAGCAGAGGGATCTATTTAAGACAATAGACATACAAAAGATAATATGTAAATAATGTTGTATTGATTTTAATTTATAAGATATTTATTATTACAAGATATTTCTTGTAATGACTTGTACCCCCGCCTGTGATATGGTGAAGCAGCGTTCAGTTGTTATGCTCCAAATATCTGGAACTAACTCCCAGAAACCTGCAGGTCCGCTGCAACTCTCACTACTTTGAAATCCAGGCTGAAGACTTTGCTTTTTGCTTTGCTTTTAATTGAACTATTCATATCTTACACTGCACTGTAACTTTTATTCATGTATTTAGTCTTTTAATGTTTATTTTATTATCTTTGCTTTTTAATGACTGTTTTCAAATGCCATTTTCTTAATGTCTTTCATTTTTGTAAAGCACTTTGAATTGCCTTGTGTTGAAAGGTGCTTTATAAATAAACTTGCCTTGCCTTGATACTGTCCCCATTCCTGTTCTATTGTTTATTCTCACCTGAGATCATATGATCAATCCTTTGAAAGAACACTTCGTACCAGGAAATATATCCCAGATATATGAATGCTAACTCATTGTTAGTCAGAGAGAGGCTGATCATACATTGAATAATCTGGCAGCTAGCCTCCACCCTGCCCTAAAAGACTCAGTGTTCTCTTTTATTTTCACTTTTAGTCCGAAGCACATTTTGGGGAATTCACGTGACACCGACAAGATAAAACATACACGTTTTTCACTCCATTGAAGTTGCATCTCATTTACTACGATATTTGGTGTTGCCTATGTGGAAGCTGTGTTGTATTTTGAACAATTGTAATATACTAAGTGTTCCATATAAATCTACATGCTGACATATTGTTAAAGTAACTGATTATAAAGCACTTCATACAGTGGTGCATTATGTCTGTGCAGCTCCTTGTTATCCCAAGTGTGGTGAAAGTATTGTTCATAGTGTAATGTTCCACAATAGGAGTCTGAAACAGGCCTCAAGTTCTTAGGTTTAATAGCTCCTTTGGTCATACAAATACAGGTTCATAAAGGTTAAAGGTTCAACGTCACTCTTGTACTCCACTCACTAACTAATGGCGCGTTTCCACTACAGCGCGGAGCACGGTTTAAGAGGGCTGTGCAGGAAATCAGTCAGATGATTCTCAAACAGCTTTTTAAAGGTTGAAAACACTCCACAATGCCTCAAGGGAGTTTGTTGCTTACATTTGGATCCAAAAGAGTGAATCACACAGGTCAGAGAAAAGCTGCTGCACTGCCCTCTGCTGTGGGGATTTTGCACCTGATACCTGATGCCACATTCACCATTGGAAAGTGCAACCTGTTACCCTTGTCTGGCTGCATGTAGTTATCTAACTTCATGACTTGAGTGAAAAATATGATATGTATAAAAAGATAAAAAGATGGTGGTGTAAAATAAAATGAAGGCGAAGCTCTTCCCCACTGAAGCAAAATGGAAGCAAGAAAAATAAACGTAACAAAACTTCTGGGTGTTCTTCACATTTCTGGGAAGGGCGTACAATTGCTTCAGATTCAGATTAATCAAAATGCAGGAAACTCAAGTTGTTATTTTACAAGAGTGCATATTGAGGTGCTCCACTCGTTTGTGTTTATTTTGTATTTGTATTGATGCTTATTGATAATCACAAGTCGGTTAGAAATACAGTAGCAATACAGTATGGGAAGTTCTGTAATAATGCAGGTTTAGTTTTAGTTTTAGTGTCTGTTGGTAGAGCTTTTTTGTTTGTTTAGTGTGGTTTAGTCTATTTTCTGATTTTGGATATAATCAAAAGTTTGCTTTTGCACACTAGAGTTATAAACGTTTGCTTTAGATTTAATGTTTCTCACTTTCAACCAAACTATTGTAGTCATTGTTGTCATTTGTAGGAATTGCTGATGATTTAAACAAGTAAAACATATATGTGAAAGACAAGCTTGTACATGCACTGTTTTTGTGGAAAGTTACAGGTTATGATGCTGCAGAGGTTCCCTCATATTGTCCCATATAGGCTTGAGATTTATAAAACAATTTAGTAAAATCACAAAATACTTTGTTCTTCTTTAACAGGGAAACAAAACAAAAAAAACTTCAGGAAGGTTAACAGAAGAGGGGTCTATTTAAGCCAACAGACATGCAAAATATAATATGTAGTAGATAATATGATATCAATTTTAAATGACCTTTAAAATGTCTTACCTTTTTTAGAAATAATTGTTTTTTCGTCTGATGAATCACGTTTTCTTTAGATCATGTGGATGGCCGGGTGCGTGTACATTGCTTACCTGGGGAAGACATGGCACCAGGATGCACTATGGGAAGAAGGCAAGCTGGCAGAAGCAGTTTGATGCTCTCGGGCCTAGGCAATATTCTGCATGGATACCATGGGTCCTGCCATTCATGTGGATGTTAATTTGACTCGTACCTCCGACCTAAACTTGTTGCAGACAAACTCAATCCCTTCATGGAACCGTTATTCCCTAATGGCAGTAGCCTCTTTCAGCAGGATAATGTGCCCTGCCACACTGAACAGATGGTTTAGGAATGGTTTGAGGAACACGACAACCAGTTGAAGGTGTTGACTTGGCCTCCAAATTCCCCAGATCTCAACCCAATCGGTCATCCGTGGGATGTGCTGAATAAACAAGTCCGATCCATGGAGGCCCCACCTCGTAACTTACAGGTCTTAAAGGATCTGCTGCTAACGTCTTGGTGCCAGACCCCACAGCACCCCTTCAGAGGTCTAGTTGAGTCCATGCCTCGACGGCTCAGGGCTGTTTTGGCCACGAAAGGGGGTCCTACACAATATTATGCAGGGGGTCATAGTGTTGTGGCTGATCAGTGTAAGTGTTATACAATAACTCTGGTGTATATGGTAAAAGCTGCATATGTGAA